AGGAGAGGTCTGTACAGGTGTGAGAGCTGTGAGCACCAGGAAACTGTCTCCCTTTTCCCACAGGCAGCAGAAACAGCTGGGCATTTCCTCTATTTTTATTACCCTGTTTTTACAGCGTTCTTATCAAAAGCCTTTGGGGCTTTGAGCCAGAGCTGGTGCTTGCCTGCCCAGGTGTCAGGGTGTCTCCCTGAGGCTGACTGGGGGGAGCAGAGCACCAAGACATGGCAGTGCAGAAGGGGCACATCTCGGAGACAAGCAGTCTTGGGGTCAGGCTGTGGGGCCGCAAAAGCCCATGGTCCCTGGCAAATATTCCTGCTGACAGAGACATTTCCATCCTGCCAGCCACAGTTTTCATTAAAATGGTTCTCTGCAAGTTCCTGTGATGCACCCCAGTGGGAATGCCCATCTCCTCACCCCAGCATTCCCCAGTTGCTCTTTCCCCTAGGCCCTGCCTGGGCCATGCTGGTCCCACAGTGCAGAGGCCACGACAGAGCTACTGTGGTGGGGTGAGCCCTGGGCTGTAGCCCCCACGGAAGTAAGCCCTAAGTTTGCTGACATGCCCTGAACACCCTGGCCAGTCTCAGGTGGTATCATGGCCCATGTATTACCTCCCACAGTGGTTAGGAGGCAGCTCTGCTCCCCACTGCCCTGACACAGGGTGCTGGGGCACATGGGGCTGGAATTGCCCCTTCGATGGCTCTGCCAGGATGCCAGTCTCCAAGGGCTGTTCCTGCTGCCTTGGTCCCTTGCAGGCTCCAGCACTCCTGTCACAGCCCCAGAGCTGCCTCCTTCCTGGGCAGGGGCTGTAAGGCCCCATGGCAGCCCTGGGACCCCATCCTCTTGGTGCGCTCCAGCCCCCACCACTGCCCTCCTGCTGCCTCCCTGGGGGTGTCAGTATGGATTTGTGTCAGGGCAGTACCTGTGTGCAGGTGCAGGGGAGGGATGGGAGCACGGGGAATGGGGAGGACCTTTCCCTCAGCACAGTGGGAGGCAGAGGAGGGAAAG